ACAGCAATAGATTCCAGAAATAGAGCATTTTTCAAGTAAGCATGGCACCTGAGTGGATGCGTGGAGCAGTTGCTGATGAAGGAATCCCATGCCAGGTTCTCTCCTGCTACTTGTAGTTTTGTGTATCCCATTGTTTTGATATCATGTTTGTGTTTTCCTTTCACGGTCACCATCCACAGACTCAGTTGCTGCAATATTGTGATTGGTAGTTAAGTTCAATTCATTTTCTTACTGGGGCATTGGAAGGGTGTGGATCATATTACAAAGTACAACATTCCTGATAAGGAAACTGGTTCTGTGTGCATGTGTTAGTATGTGCTTACAGTTTAAAAGTTTGCAGTTCAGCATATTACATTTGGATATGCGTTTTGTCCCCTTTGGAAAGACTGAAATTAGAATCTGAGTCTTATGACTGCCCTGACTCTGATCAGTGTTCTTGCAGGGCCGGCCCCAGCTTATTTTGCACCCTAGGCGAGGATCCCTTCTGCCCCCCCCCCCCCGTGCACCCACCAATTTTCAAAACTAAATGCAGTCCTCGGCATCCCGAAGGAAGACTCCGTATGCGGAGGGGTTGGGGCGGCAACGGATCCCGACACATCTGTTAACATCACGTCTCTCGTTTCGATGGGGTCTCTGTAGTCTGGGGATGAGCCACCGAAACTCCAGCTATTATGGCGTTAGACCAGGGTCGTTTATGAAAAGAAAGTGATCAAACTAAGCTGTGCCTAAAAAGAGAGAGACGTGACCTTCCATGAGAAAGTTCCGGGGGGGGGGGAGGTTTCATATAATTAACGAGTGTTTGACCTGTTGGTCGGCTGCTTTGCGTGTTGGGCTGACCGGCGGGGCGCTCACAAGCCGTCGCTCCCCTGGCCCTGCTGCTCCTGCTGCTCCTGCTGCAGCTGCCAGTCCCCAGCCGTGAGGAGGAGGAGGCGGAGGAGAAGTGCTCCGCTGGGGAGGGGGCAGGCAGGGAGAAGTTAGCTGGCCAAAGAGGCGGCAGCGGCCACCCGGTCAGAGCCATTGGGGGGGCTTTTGGCGGGGGGGCGGGGGCAGTTTGGCGCCCCTTGTCAGGGCACCCAGAGAAGAGGCTGACCGTGGGGGGGCACTCACAAGCTGTCGCTCCCCCGGCCCTGCTGCTGCTGTTCCTGCTGCAGCTGCCACTCCTCCTCCAGAGGAGGAGGAGGAGAAGCGCTCTGCTGGGAAGCCGAGGGGGCAGGCAGGGAGAAGTTAGCCGGCCAAAGAGGCAGCGGGCGGCGGCGGCAGGAGTCACCTGGCAGTGGAAATGCGGGGTGGGTGGGTGCAGTTCGGCGCCCCTAAGGGCCGGCACGCTCTAGGCGAATGCCTAGTTTGCCTAGTGAGCGAGCCGGCCCTGTGTTCTTGGGCAGCTCTTTCAACAAGGTGGTGCATTTTGTGATGGGGAAAATAAAGGACTTGGAGTGTTGCCCGTTAACGCAAATGGAAAATGCTCATTGATTGTTCACTTGGCACTTCAGACTGAACAGTATGGGATGCTGTAAGCACAAGTAATTCAATAACGCCAAAGTTGGCGTTGTCAGTTCTCCAGTTTTATCAACACATTTTTGACTAGTGCTCTTTTTGTCAAGCCATAGTTTTACCTTGCCATTTTTGAGTAATGACTGCAACACAGTTTAATAACCTAAGAGCCTTTTTATTAGTGCTGCCTGTAAGAAAGTGATGAACCTGATCTCACTGAATGATATGGGACACACACACACCACACGGTGCTTGCGTTCTGCTTCATGCGGTCTTCTGGTGGTGCCTGGCCCTGAGGTAGCTCGTTTAACTTCAACCAATTCAGTTTTAAATTCCAGCCCCAACCTGGTAAAATGCTCTGTCTGAAAGAGACGTGTGCCCTGTGGGACCTGCCTAGGTTCCTCAGGGCCTGTAAAATGGAATTATTCCTCCAGGCATTCCATTGAGGCAATCTTACTGGGCCTACTATCAGCTTTTATGATTGTCATGCCAGAGTCCAAGTGTATTAAATTGTTTTATAGAGTACTAGCCTGCTACCCGTGCTTCGCTACGGTATTTAAGTTCCGTAAATCCAGTTATAATCAGAGGTCATTTCG